AGTGAGAAACAAAACACCCCACGGTATTATAACTGATTCCCAACTTAAAATGACGACAAGTGTACAGAACAGGTTTTAACGGTTTATAATTTATCTTTAAACGTATCGGCTCTCATTTTTAAACAGCTGCAAGTTAAAACACACATTGGCAGTTAAAGCAAGTTTAAATGCGTATTATTGTTTAAAGCCTCTTTCAGTACGAAGAAGTTAAACATCACAATTTTAAAGATTTTGTCAGCAGTCCTTCATATTGATATGTCCTTACGCGCAAACATATTATAGGGGCGAGTGGTAGTAGGTATAAATATTTCTTTAAAAGTCATAAGTACAAAATGTAACAATTAGTCATAAGTCCTAATTAGTTATATACTATAATTAGTCATCAGTGTAATGCTAATTATACTGTCTGTACCATCCTGAGATATAGAGTGATTGATTTAAAGCCACGCACATTGTGAAATTCCCAACGTCACATTGACAAGTATAAAATAGCGTCAATGCCAAAATCACGTGACGAACATCAGAAGTAAAACACTATATGTCCACGAGAACTGAAGCTTCACTCTCTGACAATTCTGATATTGATCTGATTCATTGGCTGATGAACGTTGAAAGGCACCAAATTAAAATGACGTCACGCTAAAATGACGTCACAATCGCTTATTGGTTTTAGGACAATGCTGGGCATGTCCTTAGATTTTGCGAGTACGTGAAACCCGATCAGTAATTTTGTCTCCAAGAACAACCTTTTTTTACCACAATGCAGGCTGGACTGTATCAAGATTGATTGGAAAGGTAAGTAGGCTCATATAGCAATTGCATAAACGAGAACGACGCAAAACCTTTTAAGTGATGACGTTTTGCCCGGACGATACAATGAATGACGTTACTTTTTAAAATCATATGATTTCAATATCATAAGCTGGACGCTTCATGTACATAGCAAAGTTCTTTCCCAAATAACACTCATACTGTATGTCTTAAAGTCATGTCTTATATTTGAATATTAAACAACCTAAAAGGTGCCGGCATATCGGTGGCCTTAGCTCCATCTCCAGCGCTCTACTATAAAATCCTACTGATAGGATTGTAATAGCATTGTATTGCCATTTCATTTAGGCTTCTTTTGAAGATGAAAAAACGAATGGATGACTGAGCAGTGGAGCTGCAATCGTTTATTGAACTCCTGGAATATTTCAGTTTATACCACGGCCCGTATTTTGGACTAGAAATCTAAACTTGGACCATTAAGGGTCGGACTAAACAATGCTTAATACAGTAAATACCACCCGTTGATACAAAATGCGGCCTCTAGGGACACATGCAGAAAATAAATATAAAATACGGGATGACGGCATTACATTTCCATAAACCTGTCAGATAATAAGTTGTAAGGGATAGATACCACTTCTGGGCTTGACAATTAATCAATTCAAACGGAACTATTAACTTCATGCAAATATTAATAGCCATATTTCAATTAGGAAATTTAATATAACACGTTGCATGGTTAAATTATTCCGGATTTTGACCGTCTCTTGTCCGTATTTTAGTAACCGGTTTTTATATCCTCCGGTCCCTCTTACATAATACCGCTAGATTGCAGCAATAATTGTTCATTTCACCGCCATATAATGCTTCATAAATATAACTTAATGTCATGAAATGTACCCTTAATTAATCCTAGTGGATTGATAGTCTAAACCTAAATGCCAATTATAGATTTATCACACAACAGTCCTAAAACTTATTTTGAGGAATAAATCATTTTGAGATAGAACTTTTGTAAATATCCATACGCATCCGATCTTGGTTTGAAAGCGGATTGATCATAAATATTTTATATACGCATAAAATATAAGGAATTCTTCTTTTTATCACTACATGTATAGATCCGAAAATGGGCGTCTCAAACTTCTTTCGAAGATATAAAGCGAAAGCGTTTTATATATTACCTAATAAAAATGCTGTAGAAAGAAATCGATATTGATTTGAACATATATACAATACTTTGATATATGCTGAGGTACTGAAGCAGTTCGACCTCAGACATGGGCACACCTTTAGAATGAATCCGCAAAAACCAGTATGCATAAATCGAAAACACCTTGAGCAATGAATACTGTGATTGCATTTACATTATGATAGGGACAAGATGCAATGTCTAGTTTCCAGTAGCTACCCGGACTATAGCGATCTGGGGATTAACCCGCACACTTTTTATTATATCGATTGATACGAAATAGGAGTACATGCATGCATACGTGCGTGCGTGCGTGCGTGCGTGCGTGCGTACTGTAGTAAGATGGGTAAAGAGCAAAGGGATAGCAGTTGGTGTAAGAAAGAATGCAGTTTCAACTTTATGAAAATTTGTACGAATAATAGCTACATGTATATGTACCAAGTTGTTGCTCCGACACGCAATCACGCAAATTATACTGATTCTTAAAAGCAATAGAAGCTACTATAAGCATGGCCCTTGCGTATTGTAAATACGCTTACTTTTCTTCCCGCAATATTCGAACAAAATTTCAAAATAATATCCTTCGACATTGGGGCCATATACTTTCGAGACAGCCAGAATACCGTACACTCGAGACAGCCAGAATACCTTACATGCGAGACAGCCAGAATACCGTACACTCGAGACAGCCACAATCCCGTACACTCGAGACAGCCAGCATACCTTACATGCGAGACAGCCAGAATAACGTACACTAGAGACAGCCAGATTACCGTACACTCGAGACAGCCAGAATACCTTACATTCGAGACAGCCAGAATACCGTACACTCGAGACAGCCACAATACCGTACACTCGAGACAGCCACAATACTGTACACTCGAGACAGCCACAATACCGTACACTCGAGACAGCCAGAATACTGTACTCTTCATCACCTTGGTCAAACTATTTGTTTGAAATTGACCCTGAAAAGAACATTCCAAACGCATATGTATGCTATAGCGGTATCGCGAAGAAAATGGCTGTTGGGTCATTGAAAAGGATGATAAATTGAATTCGTATGTGTGCTCCGACGAATATTTGACAGTCTTCTGTCGCGAAATAACACAAATATAATGCACTTCGTAAAAATTCGCGAAATACGAACCGAAAGAATTCGGTACCCTTTTGATAGGCAGTTAGTTAGGACTAAAGGGCCCCTTGATTGAAGTAATTGTTCAGTAACAAAATTGCAAACGTTTCACCCGCGAAACTGAATTGTACATTTCACGTATATGTACTATACCGTATGTATTGATTGTAATTTTATTTCTTTTCAAGAAAGGATGAGATATAAATTTAATTTCAGATTGATGTCAGTCTCCTTCACCCGTTTTACTGTCAGCAGAAGCATACAAAGAACTCCAATCGATAGGACTTGTTATAATCCTTTCCAGAACTATTTCGATCGCTGTGCCAATGAGACGGGATATGCCTGTTTTGTATTGATCTGACTCTTAAATACATTTTTTCAAACAGTGTTGCTCTGTAGTGGTAAGAATGGGAAAATATGAAAATAAAAAAGAATGCCAAATCAGAGAGAATTTGGACTTCTTTTCATAATTTGAACTGCTATATTGTTGAACTCTGAGGCAGATAGGAACTCCAAAGAATACAAAATGAGGATGTGATACTTGTACGTAAAAGGGTCTGGTTGACGACCTCGACGGAATTCCCACCCGACACTTTAAAGCTTTAGATAACAAGATGTTCCATATATGTATCTTTTTTACAACCGACATATCTCGCTACATATGAATCCCTGTCCCGTGGCATTGCGCTTTTCCCCCTATATGCAGCAACACCCCCTCCCTCCCCGTAACTTCCGTTTTGTTATAACTGAGTTTGGCCAGGACACTTCCGTTAACTAGGTACAACGTAACTCAACCGGTTCGTGCGATAGTATAACAACCTGATGTCCAGGGTTCGAACCCCGGTGTAAGCCATGTTGAATTGGTACACTCATAACACTGTTTTATTTTAGTTGTTTCATCGTAATCATTTCTCATAAAAGTCCCGCAATGTACGACTTTCTTTTCCGAAATGCTTTATCAAAGCTTTAATCATGTCTAAACAACCCGTTTCCAATGCATGATAACAATTTTGGGAAGTAGTACGTTGATCCTGGTTTATATATTTTTGGTTTCAAGCCATTCGATTGTTTTATGATCCCATACACTGAGCATTGTTTTTCAAACAGACAAAAAGGATAGTTATTCAATATTTACAAATTGATTTAATTGCAATGATATTTTTTTTTTTTTTTTTTTACCGAATAATTGACCGGAAAATGTACACTCTGGCATAAACCACTTCGGGAATTTCGCAGCTTTCACGATCTACACCTGTATCAACTAGACAAATTAAAAAAAGTCGCTAAAATTACCCGCGAAAATAAAGGATCCATCGTTATGCGTTGGTAAGCAGTAATACGGCTACATATACATGACTAATTAACATATGTCCTCAGTGAAAGTATTTAAATGGTGGATTTGTATCGGGTGACAAAGATATTGATCTGACTTTCTAGTGAAAGGGTTATATGGGTGAATATGACGCTGATAAATGACAGATATAGTTGAGATATGGTAAATAATTCACATCTAAATACTGAACAACATCCCCTAACCCCGATGTAGACCGTGTTAATGGAATCCACGTCACATCAGATTTCAATATCTGTCAAAATTCTTTTCACAAATTTATGAGTGTGAAAGTAATATTTAACAAATACCGCAGTATACTTTAATGATATACAGAGCGGGTAAGGTATTAATCGAAACCGTTCGAATAAAACATATTTAAATTTTAATAGATCAGGTTTAAATATTTTCATGCTCATTATTTTACAAAAGCCAACACACCCAGTCAATCTGATCAAAATGTCCCCTAGTGTACGTTATAGTAATATGGCCTACTGATTCAGTCCGTATTTTGTAATAAGATAAAAACGATTAAGATTAATTGGATTTCTAGAGTCAAATCGCCAAATGAACTTCGAACGTGTTTATCTTATTTAATAGGAAGCCGTTGGGATGTTTAAAACGTGTGAATTTGAAATATGGTAAGCTATTAAATTCTGTTTATTTAAATGCAATACAACTGTCTTTCACGTTTGTAAGGCAAATCATATTGTCGTTATTTGTTCCTTTTTTTTAAAACAAAAAGGTAACTGCATTGATTTCTCGTGTGTGGGTATAATGATTATTTTATGGGTACATACGTTAATATGTGCGGACATGTTCACTATACTATTTTATATTTGGGTATAAAGAAAACACAATTATTTCTCAGAATCTAAATATGAAATTGTAAATAAAGTAGGGTGTATAATCACAATTGTATTTTTTGTCTCGTGGTAGCAAAGCAATGCTCCAGATTGACGTAGATACATTTCAGTCTCGGTTACATCTGGTGTGATGTTTGTTATGAATGCAGATAACCCTGACATCAAGGATAATACGTCACAGGCATTAGCTCACTGACCGTACTTCACTGATCTTACTTCATGACTTTACTTCACTGATCTTACTTCGTGACTTTACTTCACTGATCTTATTTCATGACCTTACTTCACTGATCTTACTTCATGACCTTACTTCACTGATCTTACTTCATGACCTTACTTCACTGATCTTACTTTATGACGTTACTTCACTGATCTTACTTCATGACCTTACTTCACTGATCTTACTTCATGACCTTACTTCACTGATCTTACTTACTTCATGACGTTACTTCACTGATCTTACTTCATGACGTTACTTCACTGATCTTACTTCACTGATCTTAATTCATGACCTTACTTCATGACCTTACTTCACTGATCTTACTTCATGACCTTACTTCACTGATCTTACTTCATGACGTTACTTCACTGATCTTACTTCATGCCCTTACTTCACTGATCTTAATTCATGACGTTACTTCACTGATCTTACTTCACTGATCTTAATTCATGACCTTACTTCATGACCTTCCTTCACTGATCTTAATTCATGACCTTACTTCACTGATCTTAATTCATGACGTTACTTCACTGATCTTACTTCACTGATCTTAATTCATGATCTTACTTCATTACCTTACTTCACTGATCTTACTTCATGACATTACTTCACTGATCTTACTTCATGACATTACTTCACTGATCTTACTTCACTGATCTTAATTCATGACCTTACTTCATGACCTTACTTCACTGATCTTACTCCACTGATCTTACTTCATTACCTTACTTCACTGATCTTACTTCATGACGTTACTTCATTGATCTTACTTCATGACCTTACTTCATGACTTTACTTCACAGATCTTTTACTTCATGACCTTACTTCACTGATCTTACTTCATTACTTTACTTCACTGATCTTACTTCATTACTTTACTTCACTGATCTTACTTCATGACGTTACTTCACTGATCTTTCTTCATGACTTTACTTCACTGATCTTACTTCATGACTTTACTTTACTGATCTTACTTCATGACTTTACTTCACTGATCTTAATTCATGACCTTACTTCATGACCTTACTTCACTGATCTTAATTCATGACTTTACTTCACAGATCTTACTTCATGACCTTACTTCATTGATCTTACTTCATGGCCTTACTTCATGACCTTACTTCACTGATCTTAATTCATGACTTTACTTCACAGATCTTACTTCATGACCTTACTTCATTGATCTTACTTTATGGCCTTACTTCATGACCTTACTTCACTGATCTTAATTCATGACTTTACTTCACAGATCTTACTTCATGACCTTACTTCATTGATCTTACTTCATGGCCTTACTTCCTGACCTTACTTCACTGATCTTACTTCATGACCTTACTTCATTGATCTTACTTCATGGCCTTACTTCATGACCTTACTTCACTTATCTTACTTCATGACCTTACTTCTCTGATCCTATTTCATGTCGTTACTTTATGACCTTTCTTCACTGATCTTACTTCATGACGTTACTTCGCTGATCTTCATCATGACGTTACTTCGTGACTTTACTTCACTGACCTTACTTTGGTGATCTTACTTTAGTGATCTTACTTTATGGGCATACTTCATTGGCCTTGGTTTTCAGGCCTTACACTTACGGGCCATATATGACGTGGCTTTTTGTATCTTACTTCCATAGCACGTTATAAATATCATAGTTGACAAAGGGACCAATCGGTCTTGAAACGTTGCAGCACGTTTAAAACGTATTTTTGATGAATCTTTTAAAAGAAAAAGTTTACATTTTTCAAATTGGGAAATATCTCTAGAACTCGGCGGGTGCCCACCTTAAAAAGGTCTTACATAGATATATGTAAATCTTAGAGTGGCCTTTTATATGTTTGAAATTACCCCGTCACGCATATCTCCTTTAACTTTCAAATAGTCACAAAGGCCCAGTAAACAATGTAGTTTGTATACATATAAACAGGACGAGAATGGCTGAGTGTTTCAGGACCATTTAGAACTACTTACACGTATAACCGTTAATTGTTATCAACACAATTATAATATGCCAGCACACACTAAAGGGTGACATACTAGCGAACGTGTCCCCTTAAGCTCCCATCAGTGGGTGTGATATTAGCCCCGGCGAGGACCTTTAAATCTCCAATATAACCTAACCTTACAACTCCAAACACTAAAGCATGTCCATTGTACCATTTCACGAAGGCAATCGCATAGGATAACATTTCGATTCAAACTCATTTCCCTTTCTAATTGAACTTGCCAAATCGATCGCAGGAATCAAGTATAAAACATTACCGAACTAATATACATTTTATGAGTTTCTATCGAATGGGTTTTTCCATTCATACGCTTCCTCTGTGATAGAATCGTGGTCGAATTGGCTCACGGACCCCACCCCCTAGCCCGAAACTCTGGATACACCTCCCCCTGGTCAACAGATCATCCTAGAAATCATCTGTTTGCTGCTGTACAGTTTCCAAAAGTGTCAATGGACAACAGACCTCAACACTCCCAACCCCATCCCCAAAACACCACCACTCACAAAAAAGTATGGTACATGTACTACAGCGATTTGGTTGGTTTATCGTTGCGATTGGTCAATTTTCTATGTCTGGATCCAGTAAAATTGGAAACGTTCAAGAAATTAACCTTTCACCTGGCTACTTCCCCCCGTGGACACTTTAGTATTATCAGAAAGAAGTACAGATTTCTGTCCGATACTTAAATGTGTTTTTCATGGACACTGTGATCAGGTAGATATTTCACGGTACTTTTACCGTTGGGGGTACATGTACCTGCTTCTTCCAACTCTCACTACTCAAGTAGAATTGCACTGTTGGGGCAGGGGCTATACTATATTATATACACAAATATAGTTATAGAAAATTTAATTTTCGTTTCTATACAAGTTTTAAACAGCTTTCCAAGGAAAACCTACAATGAGATCGCTATCAAAGAAAACGAACTCTTCATATGCGGATATTAGTTACCTCAAACTCTTTTGAAAATTACTTTTTCCTGTAAACAAGAGGGAATCCGAGAACAACAGTACCTGTCGGATATATATTTTAATCAACATACATAGATGATGACAGCTTCAGACTTTACTACCGTATGAGCGTCTGTCCTACAGAGCAGCCTAATTCTTGTTATGTATACCAAGGTCCCGTAAATAATTAACTCGACAGTGTTGTAAATAACGTAGAATAGTGCTACAAACACGATGGGATGATTTCACGATATTCATTAAGATTGTAGGGAAATCTAGATTTTTTTTTTATATAAAACGTAAACTTTATTCATTTTATAAAAAATATGAAATAAGATTGTTCAATTGATTTAATCGCTCCTGTTGGCCTGTATTTTAAACGGTGTATATAAATATTAACACATAGAGTGGATAGACTGTATCCATCGCTCATCCCGTGAATACACGTGTGTATCAACCAATGGTCGTGAAGTACTTCAGTCATAACATTAACCAGGGTGCAAGTACTGAACGGAACGGCTATAATCTTAATATATTGATACTGACGCTCGTTTCAATCAAAATCGCTATGACCAGACGCAGCAGACGTTTTAAAATCCATAAGGGGAATACAGATACTCAAAATACACATTGATTGTCCGTCTCTGTGGTTACAGAAATAGCTGACCGTTACTATATAGATAGAGGTGGTGTGGTGTAACAGACAAAGACGTGCTTCTGGGCGTAATTCTTGTGTTATGTATAAGGAAACAGTGTAGTTAACGATATTGAAAATTTCTCTTATATTGCTATTCCAGCATCGGTTATAGATTTACCTGTACGATGCGGTTGGAGACGTGCTGTGTGCACTGATACACTTTTCAGCTGGTCAATATCATACCAGTTGTACAGTGCCATTAGAAACCCAGGGCAGTCCAGGGATTTAACACACAGACAGGTAAGTTATTTTTTTTATAACGAAAATTGTTGATCATGTGTGATCATATGTGGCATTTTTACATGTAAGTCATACAGCACACGACACCATCGTTTTCTTTAATACATTTTTGTATATTTTTATTATTATTACTGGAGAGATGTTCGAATATTTGTTATTGGTAATTTGTAACATTGGTCTTTGTTTATTGGTTATTGGCGTAAGTTCATATCTAGTAGCTATAACGGTGTTGGTGTACAGCTATGCTACCAGTAGTCCAGACAAATTATTCTATTAGTCTTATTGCCATTTATTTCTTAATTGAGTATCATACATATGTAGTTTTAATAATATTATTAGGTGTTATAATATACTTAGATATATAGCAAATATCATTGCGTGGTGTTGTTTAGTATGGTTACGGTGAAACATTCATATTATTGATAATGGTCTATATGGTTACTATTATTGAAAATTTAAAAAAAAAAAAAAAAAAAATACATGTTGATGATAATTATCTTCGTTTGTAGTCTAAGGTCCATGTATTGTTCCTATATCCACGCATTTCTATCAGTAAATTATTTTGTTTATTTTCAAAAAAGATATATTTGCACGGTTAAATAAATGGGTTAGCTTTACATGGCAGGAAACAATAACTAAAATCAAGAAATACTACAAAGCTGATGATTACAAGACCAAAATTAAAACTCTACACAAATTCGCACTTTTTTCTTTCTAAATTAACGCAAACGTAGCATTTTTTACGATATATGAACGAATTTATTTCAATAACCAAAACAATTGTTTATATATACAGGAATATTGATCAACATTAAAGTCAATGAAAACACTCATTAACCTATCCAAACATCTTTGATTGTTAAAGTAAGCCACAAAGATCGGTAACCTAAAATTTAGATCGGGATTAGCTGAAGTCATTAAACTTTGGGGGACAACAATGGCGATGTGTGATCTAAGTGTCACTGTAAGGATCATATTCTACGAGAGACAAACATCAAACCTATTCTTCTGATGGAAAGATCTAGTGTAGCAAGCCTACATGTAGACTGGGGATAATTAAAATGTATCGCATTGCATGGCCGTAGTAAATGACAATGGTTAGGCCCAATACGAATAGGCGGTTTTCTGCTGTGTTGTTTTTCCCCCGCAGACACAGAAGAGACCAGTTGATACCAGTTGTCCACAGTTTAACTTTTATGACCTCTATCGGGGTTTTTTTCCTACCCTTTTTGACCTATGGTTAGGCCGTTAAGGAATAATGTGACGGGCACAGGTGTTATGCTGCGATGTCCAGGGAGATGACACTGTAAATGGTTCGTCAGTCACTATCATCTGTGGACACGTCTTCCTGTGACCTCCGTTGTTGTGAACACGTAAAGCCATTTATCCGTCCGTCAATTTATTCATTTATCCATCCGTCCGTCCGTCAATTTATTCATTTTTCCATGTATCTGTTCGTTAAGTTATTTATTTATCCTCCCGTCCGTCAATTTATTCATTTATCCCTCCATCCGTCCGTCAATTTATTCATTTATCCCTCCATCTGTCCGTCAATTTATTTATTTTCCCCTCTGTTCGTCCGTCGATTTATTCATTTGTCCATGTATCCGTCTATCAATTTTATTATTTATCCATCCATCCGTCCGTCCGTTAATTTATTCATTAATCCCTCCATTTGTCCGTCAATTTATTCATTTATCCCTCAATCTGACCGTCAATTTTTTCATTTATCCATCCGTCCGCCCGTCATTTATTCATTTATCCATGTATCCGTCTGTCCGTCATGTATTCATTTATCCGTGCGTCAATTGTTTCATTTATCCATGTATCCGTCTATCAATTTATTTATTTATCTATCCGTCTGTCCGTTAACTTATAAATTAATCCCTCAATCTGTCCATCAATTTATACCTTTATCCCTCCATCTGACCGTTAATTTATTCATTTATCCAAGCATTCGTCCGTCAATTTATTCATTTATACCATCATCCGTCTGTCCATTTATTTATCCCTCCAGCTATCTGCTTATCGACATATCAATCGTTCTATAAATTGTGTTTTTTCAAGCTACATAGAGTTCGTTAGTTGGCTCACTTTAGGTAAGTGGTGTTTAATTTGATGACGTCTTTGTTTACAATTTAACGATGATTATTGTTTTGATTATACTTTAGGGAATAAAAGCAATTATTCAAAATACCTCTGCAGCTAAAGATAGAATCTTTGAAATCATTGCTTCATTACGTAGAACGGTGTTGGCAGGAGATCAGAACATGAAGAAGACGAGTGAAATAAAACGTCCAGTGGAAATAAGTTTTACTTGATCAAATAGCGCATTTTTATTTGACATTGTTGAGATTCGGAGGCGACGACCGGAACGCGTCGATCGTGTCGGTAACAAAGCGCTGGCTTACAAAGCAACACTACATATACTACAAATGTAGATAGAGGCAGACGTGTGTATCTGTATAATGATCCAAACTCGTTATTTAAATTCTTCTGTTGTTCAGATTGTTCAGAGGGAACCTATCATACAAGTATGTAAATAAGCATCATAATATTCGTATATAATACATTTTCAATAGAATAAAATATACAAAGATCAGAGTAGAAAAACAAATTTAAAGAAATACCATTCATGTCGAACTATGAATAAGTCCTGTATGCTTGTTAGAATCTAGTTTTAGTTTTGTAATAGGCATACTTTAAAAAAAAATGAGAAAAATTAATACTGCTGACGACGATGTACCATGAAAAGAACGTACAGGTCATCATATGTTATGATATCATAAACAAGGGAAATTATCAAAAATAGTGAACGGGTTCATCAGCGACAAGCGTTTTTTATGCAAATAAATAAGATTTGTATTTTTTTCATTAAAAAAACGTTGTATGAATATATTCACTTTGTTGGCCGCCTCACTGTTAAATGCGACGAATGCTCTCCCCAAATAACTGATTAAACATAAACCATATTATATTCAAGTAAAATACCAGCCTTCCCAGCTAATAAACGTGGATGCGCCGCTCCACAACATGGATTATGTATCCTGTGTGCAGTTGACCATTGTACATGTATACCTAAATTAGAGAAGTTTAAATTAAGGTTGTAAATTAGAGAAGCTTTAATTAAGGGTTTTAACTATGTTTTTACCTATGTGATTTAATGCCAGCCACGATTATATACATGGCCACCATTTCTTATATATATCTTAGACTTATGGTGACCAACAATCACTAAAAATACGAAGTAGGGAATTAAGGAATTAAGGAAGCATCAATTACAAATGTGAACATTTTTACTATATCATATGATAATTTTGTTCATTTTAATAAAAACCATTGTCTATAATGGTCCGAAACATACCAGGAGAATAAATTCACCGGGAGAGATGACCACCTTATGACGTAAAACTAACTTCTTGAAATATAAAGAAAGGAAATAACGAATTTAAACTCTATAAAGTCGATGCAGATAATCGACTTTATTTAATGCGAATTCCTCAATATTGTATTGATTAATATATATGCTAATTGTATTGACTGTATTAAAATTGAATATCTATGAACTGTAAAGCGCTTTAGAGTGGCTTATTTTAGCTAGATTGGGCGCTTTATCAAATGTTGTATTTTTATTTGTATATTTATTAGATTTATATATTATGATACTTATAATGGGTGCTTGCGATGTATTGTGTAAATTCAAAGCGACATGCGTGTGTTATGTGTGAAATTTGATTCACTGTCGGTTACTTTAATGTTTACTTCTCACTAAAATGCCCGGATATTGCGCTATTTCGGTCGTAGCAATTTTTATCACTGGCTTTCCCAAAAGATGAAACTGACCACATTGGACGCTGGCTTCAGGTCATGCCATGATCAACTACGTAAATGTTCATTAGGAGTTATATATTTTCAGTATCTAATCGATTTTAAGGGTGTTATTTGACTAAATACCCCATTAAACATACAATGTACGTAGACATACAGCTACAGCACAGAGTGAAAAAGGGGGTGGAAGGTATAAATGAGTAAAACCCTTCATGAAGTTATAAATGAATATCCTTTGGCTACATCATATCATTAATTTCTTTAACTAGTATTCCATGCAAACTGTGCCAGAATAAATCTCAGTAAAAAGGTTACGACTTATCTCAGGGACTGTCTGTCTACCAGCTGAGTGAAGGTTTGTACCATGAGTATTACAAGAAATATTTTTAGGGTACATGATGCCTTCTTGTTTTCTTTTTTTTCTTTATGTGTGTATGTGTGTCTGTGGTTTTCTTTACTTTGTTTTTATATTACTTTAATATACGTGAATACATTGAATTTTAAATGTCAGAAATCAGTTGTTTCATATATATTCCAGTTACATGATATCAACGATATCACCGCATATTATAGTATTACTGTATAGAGTGATCGGTTGGCCAGTGGAAAGCGCACTCGCCTTTCACCAAGGTGACCAGGGTTCGACTGCCCGATCGGATTTGAAATGGTATTGGGTCACCTTCCCAAACCACGTGGGATTTCTCCAGGTGCTCCGGTGTCCTTCCACATTAAGACCCCTTATGCGCTACCATCCGTGTCAACTAGTGTGATTAATATTTGTTAAGAAACTTGTTTCACAATTGTTGTTAAATCTATAAAGTTTGATTTAAATTTAATCTATAGTACATTATCTAACTGTTTGTTGTCTGATTGTTGTCGATTTGAAATCCTTCGTGTTCAGGTTCAATTTCAGTTTAGTAAAACGTTGTTTTCACTCACACTATCAAAGTTACTTAGCTGTTGATACAAATACGTTTAGCCAAATAGTCGATCTTATAGTAAACGCATGTTACACTGCCACAGTACTGCATGCTTAAAACCCATGATAATGCCACAGCATTCCGCATAGAAACTCTGCTATCACGCCAAAATAATAAACAGTGAATCCCTTTTACAACGCCAGTTATCCACAGTGAAAAATGCTATAACGCTATATTTCTATGCCGTAAAAT